ATCTATTATTGAAACGATAGGGCCTCTACTGAGTATATTTGTGGTTCAACAGACACACAGTTATTATTTTAATAACCTAATAGTTAGTTAGGGTGGTTGGTCCAGTCCGCAAAAAATATGCAATCTATTTATCCTTTATAATATAGTCTTCTCAGGTGTAGTTATTAGCCTTTCGAGGCAGGCCTAGGATCCGACTATTACTTCCTTGCAATTTAATTTTTCTATGTTCTCGACTTTGTCAAGGAGAGCGCGATCGTCAACTATCATTGTCCTGTTGTAAGGAGAGGAAGACCGAACGAGCTTCCCATAGTTAGTCCACCGAACTACAAAATAAGAAATAGTTTGAATGTATCTACCTAAAAATCTAAATAAGTAGATATACCTTTTTTTTTCTTTTGCCCTGGACGTGATCGTCATCCTCAATGTGGGGCGTGTGTAAGGAGGAAGGTGACGCAGACTTCCTAAACAACCAAACTATACCGCAGAGAGTGATTGAATGTATCCACCAAAAAAAAAAATATATAAACATAAATAAAATTAATTTTCGATACAGGCATAGGTAGTTGTCCACCGTTTTCCTAATGCTATATGAGTGATATATTTTTTATATTAATATTTTTTATCTAATTCCGACACAGGTAGAAAAGTGTCGATGTGAAATAAAAATCTATGAAGTATATGCCCCTTCTCTTCTATGTAAATATGCATACACAGCGATAAAAATGAATCTGATATTTTATTATCATATACTTGTTACAAACCGCTATAAGTCATTGAAATTGCTAAATTGATAAAATCAGTGAAAATTGCTATATTATCACTATACCCGCAAAATAGTTAAAACTAACTACAATAATGGTTTTAATTCTGCTATATTACAGGCATTAATCAATCTGCAATATAGGTATAGTAATGAACGCCTGAAATGTGGTGTTTTTATATTCGTTATCCATTTAGGACACTTCTAGAAAATACTTCTCCAAGAATGGATTTATCTATATGACTGAAAGATCTAGAGATAGGAGATTTATGGTTGAAAAGCATTCATTTTATATTTATTGTACTGTATGCGACACTTTGGTATTTATCCACGAAAATACTATCGAATATATTAGTAATCACCTGAAGAAATGCATTACTGAAAAACACCTTGCATATTTTAAAGCTGTATAGAAAAATAGAGGAGTGCCAAGCCGAAAGAGTGTATCATTGCTCAGTCCCGATGAGATTGAAAAAATTTATCAAACTTATTGGGTTATGTACAGCAAAGGTTTGGCTCATTATAGTTATGATTATTCACATAAAGGTAGGAAAAGGATTGTAAATCGTTTAATTAATAATGCAAAAGTTATCCAACGGGCTTGGAGAGCTTTCAAGTTGAGACCCAAAACATGGGCGAAACTAGTTTGGAATATAGTAAGAAATAATGGTACTCCTGACGAGAAAAAGTTTTTAGGTATAACTTCTCGCGATATAAGAATTCCTGATGATCGATATGTATGGTATATTGATCGAAAAATTCTAGCTAAAGATGTACCTGCATATCATCAAAATGGCCTATATGATCATTATACTCTATACGAGTAGGCAGAAAAAAAGAGAGATCAGTTACATGAACAATTAAATTTTGTAGCATATATACTTGCTTTTATAGAATTATATCGACAAGGCTATAGAATCGTTGAATATTTAGAATGGACTTATATGTTAAAGTGGCTATCAAATCCTGAATATTACCATATTAATGAATCTGGTAATGAAAGAATTGTTAAAAGATTAGAGTATGCACGTTACATGTGTAAAACACATGGCAAATTATATCTATGCGATTCACTAAAAATCAACTATTTCGAAACTAAATATCTTTATACCCTAGGAGAAGAAATTAATATAGATTTCTCAGATTCGAACAATAATTGTGAGTATGTGCGCCGAATTTTCCGGACCATGGATTCTTCGCCGAAGCAGGCCATTACATATTTATTATAATAATTTATTTTTTTATAGTTGTCCACCGTCGATGTGAAATAAAAATCTATGAAGTGTATATTTACTTATGATTTTCTCATCTATGGTCAGTAATATAATTAAGCGCTTTGGAAGTTTGTGAACAAACAAATCATCCCTCCTCAAAAATAAATTTTTTTGGAGTGAAGAGTTTTGTAAAATTTTATCTAAAAAATTTTCTGATTACTTTTTTTTTTTCTATTTTCAAATTTATAAGAAAATAGGGGATCTTCAATTTAACTAATTCTATTTATTAGGTGAGGCACTTTTTTCCTTGCGCTTCTGCCTCGCCTCTATCTCTTTCTGCAGGTTTAATGGAGTATTAAACCTTAGTCGAATTGCAAGAGGATCATCCTCCGACGTGCTGAGATCAAATACAACAAATTCATCTTTGCGGAGATAGCTATTAATAACCATGGATGCGCTCTTTACATTATCAGTATATCGGCCAGCTATCTTGGACATGTCTTGATAACTGCTTCCCCTATTATATATTACTAGAAGGAAGATATTCTTATGAATAATAATTGGTACATGATGATATTTCTGAATAACATAGCATGGAGAAATATTTCGATGTCGCCTATGTGTAAAAAATGGAATAATTCGATTTTGGATAGACTTGAGAGCAACACATACATCCTTAAAAATGATTACGGTGCTCCTCTCAGGTGAAAATGATTTCACACTAGGAATTTGTTCTGGTAATATGTAGCTGAATCTAATGTTCTCATAATAGGGCGCTTTGGGATTACTTGCTATTATTCCATACATATATCTAATGAATGCCCATTTCGGCTCATCAGGATGGTAACCGCAAACTATCAAATTATCGCATTTAATATATCTGGATCCTCCTTTTTGTCTTTTATATATATGCTCACATTTATCTCCAAGAACAAGGTTTGCTAGTAAATTGGTCTTACCTGTACCACTTCTTCCGCTGACTATCATGCTAAAAGGCCATGACATCACTAGATGTCCAACATTTCGGGATGATTCGTGCTTTGTAGCCTCGTCCATATCTATAAGGTAGAGTTTCATAGGTGGTAGTTCTTTTTTTGTATAACAGATTGGGAATCCATAACTCTGATTTCTATCTAAGGGTATTTTATAATTCAGAATATTTTTTTCTTTATTGAGGAGTGAAATAAAAGAATATATATAAGAGGATATGCGGCATAGGAAGTATATGATTAGTAATATTATTATTATGATAAAGACCGCATTCTGCTAAAAGAAGGAATTGGGTGATAGTGAGGTTGTTTTAGGATTAGTGATGCCGTTACCTTTTTCTAGTCTGCTAACACCTCCAATCACTTCATTATACTTCGACTCACCAGATATTTTTGAAATCTGCTTTGCTAAATAAGCATTAGCTTCTTGAAAAAGGGAATCTTTCTCTAATAATGCCTTTTGTGCTGAAGCTAAATTATCCTTTATCTGCATTAATTTATTTCTTTCTTTAGACAGAGTTTCTTCTAACTCTATTTTTTTATAATTTAGGGTAGTGTTTTCAGCAGATAGTAATATCTTTTCTTGTTCAAATTCATGCTCAAAAGATTCCATTTCTGATAAATCATTCTGTGCTAAAGAAAGATCTTGCTCCAATTCTTTTACTCTTGATTGGAAAGCCTGTATCTCTTCCTCCATCTTGGATTGGAGAGCTTGCATCTCCTCCGATTTTATAGAAAATTTGCTTTCGGCATCTGCAAAAGAAATATCCTTGCAAGTAATCTGAAGCTTAAGGTCATTTATCTCTGAATGTAAATGTCTTATTTCATTCCCAAGCTTGGAGTTATCTATTTCTGATTGTAACCGCATTGTTTCTTCTCCAAGCTGGTGAACATGATCAGAGAGCTTCTCATTATCTTTTTTGGTTTTATCAAGATCGTCCTATATGTGCTTATTTTCTTTTTTGGATTTATCAAAATCATCCTGTATGCGCTTATTTTCTTTTTTTGATTGATTTAGAGAATCCTGTATATGTTTTTTTTCTCTATCTAAGAC